AGTAGTGAACAACGCTGCCTTACCCCAGCTGCTATTAAGAATTAATCATGCTGCTGCTTCTTTGGGAAAACACCAAATGGCAGTGCAGCAAGAGGGCCCTGAGGACCCAGGATTAGGAAGCCAGTGGATTCCATAGAGGATTCAGACGAATTCTCAATTTTCTGGTCCTGTCATCATGCCTGTTACCTGCTGCAATACTGCCGTTATTGATTCTAACTCTCTGGAACTATAAGCCCAAATCAACTTATGAAAGATACCTTGATCATGATGTTTTATTGTCTATTTATCTATTTGTCAGCCTGTCATCCATCTATCTATCTATCTATATATCTATCTATCATCTTTATATATAAACACACACACACAGACACACACACATAACACTTTATAAGTTCTGTTCCTTTAGGAAGTTCTTCCTTTAGGAAGAACCCTGGTACACTCTGCTTTTTTTTTTTTTTTTTTTTGAGGACTGAAGAACAAACCCAAAAACTTCTGCATGCTAGGTACGTGCTCCACATCTTTAGCTCCTCACTTAAAAAATAAAAAAGCTGTGTATATGGTGGGTATATGCACAGAGTTCGTGTGCTCATGGAGACCAAGAGAGTTTGGGATTCCCTGGAGCTGGAGTTACAACTGGTTGTGAATTGTCGGATGTGGGTGCTGGAAATTAAACTTGTGTCCTCTGGAAAACCAGCAAGGGCTCTTAACAACAAAGCTGGCCCTCCAGCCCTGCCCCTTACTTAAACAAACAAAACAAAACAAAATAAGCAACTTTCTTTGAGATGGTCTCACTATGTATTCTTGGCTAGCCTGGAACTTTCTATGTAGACCAGGCTGGCCTCCAACTTGCAGATTTTCTGAGTGTTGGAATTAAAGACATGCACCATCATCACGCCTGGCTTTAAAAACCTCTAATATTTCTTTTAGTTATCTGTGTGTATGATGTGTATAGGTGGACACTGAGTTACTGTAGTGCTCTAGTGGAAGTCAGAAAGCAACTTTATAGGGTCAAAGCTCACAGTCTACCTTTACTTGGGTAGAATTGTGGACCAGGCTGGACTTGAACTCAAAGAGATTGCCTGCCTCTGCTCTGTTGGGATTAAAGATGTATTCTACCACCTGGCTCCCCCCCACCTTTTTTTTTTTTTTATGCCTTCTAAGGAAGTTTGAGGACATATTGGCTACATAAGACATTGTCTCAAAAAAGTAGGAAAAATTACTGTTAACAATTGTAGTAAGAGAAATGTGGCTCAAGGATTTGAACACATGGCCTTCATCTGGTGGCCCTGTTTAGAGAGATTATGGGAGCAGGAAGCTTTGGGGGTGGGCTTTGAAAGTTTAGAGCCTTACACCGCTTCTATCTCACTGTCTTGCTTCTGGCTATGATTGAGATGTGATCTCCCAGGTTCCTGCTTCAGCTGCCATGCCTGCCTGCTGCCATGGTTTTGTGCCATGATGGACTCTTACCCCGTGGGAAATAACCCAAATAAACTCTTCCTTTTGTAAGTTGTTTTCGGTCATGTGTTTTATCATAGCAACAAAAAAGTAAGCAATCAACATTAATAGGCCTTTGTAGACGTCTCTATTTTAAAATTTTATTACTTTATTATGAGTGTTTTGCCTGCAGTTATATCTGTGCAATTCTCTTTCCTGGCACTTGTGGAGGGTGCCCAGGGACTGCAGTTACAGACAGCTGTGATCTGTCATGTAGGTGCTAGAAATCAAACCTGGGTCCTCTGGAGAGGCAGCCCATGCTCTTAAACACTTGCGCCATCTCCCTAGCCCATATACATTAATATAAAATATATGATAGACTATGTTATATTAAATAACACTATACTGTACAATATTTGATGTAGCATTTATTATACAATAGCAAACACATTATGTACTAATATTATATAATATTGAATGTACAGTATAATTATATATTAAATATTTAACAAAATTGTATTTGTTTTATGTGTACAGCTGTTTTATCTGCCTTTAAGTCTGTGTACCATGTGTGTGCCTGATGACATGAAGGCATGGTCTTTGGAGCCCCTGAATCTGAAGTTATAACTATTGTGAGCCCTATTACACAGAGAAACCCTGTTTTGAGAAATCAAAAAGCCAAACCAAACCAATCCAAACAAACCCACACCTTGTGGGTGTGATATTAATTGAATCTGGGCTCTCTTGAAGAGCAACAAGTGCTCCTAATCTCTGAGCCGCCTCTCTAGCTCCTGTTTATATACTCTTAATGTATAATTAGTTGCCATTTGATCCAGCAAGTCCACTACTGTATATTCAAGTGAAATGAAAACCCATACACAACCAAAAATACCAATTACCATAGCACCGTTTTTTGTTTTTTTTTTTGTTCATGTTTGTTTGCTTTGCTTTTTTTTTTTTTTTTTTGAGACAGGGTTTCTCTGTGTGGCCCTGGCTGTTCTAGAACTCTCTCAATAGACCAAGCTGGCCTTGAGCTCACCTGAAAGATTTATTTTTTTATTTGTGTGTATGTGTGTCTTTGTGTGGGTGGCTGCAGATGCCAGAAGAGGGCATCAGATCCCCTGGAGCTGCAGTTACAGACAGTTGTGAACTGTCCAACATAGATGCTGGGATGCAAACTCATGTGCTCAAGAAGAGCTACAAATATTCTTAACTGTTAAACCATCTCTCCAGCCCTTTACATGTGTTGTTTTGGTCAGCAAAGTAATAAGGTTTATTATGACATTTTCATACATGCCTTGTTTTGGTTGACTGTCATTTATTTCTGCAGTTTCCACCTCCCGAAAATGTACGCTCCAACCCTGCTTCCAATTTAATGCCTTTACTCCACCTCTTAAGTAATATATACATATATATATTGTATATGTATGGGTTGTTTCCCTCCATGTATGTCTGGGCATTATATGTGTGCCTCATGTCCATGAAGGACAAAAGAGGTATCAGGTACCCTGGAACTGGAGTCACAGACAGTTGTGGGCCACTATGTGGGTGCTAGGAATTGAACAAGGGTCCTTTGAAGACCAACAAGGGTTCTTAACCACAGAGCCATCTCTCCAGCCCAACTCCTATTTCTTTAAGACATCTTTTGTTCCCCCATTCATGGTCTCCTTTCTACGTTCATGACATATTCCCAGTCTCTCTCTCTCTCTCACACACACACACATTAAAAACAAGGATCTACATAAAAAACAGTAGTTTTACTTTTTGTTTTGAAACAGGGTCTTACTCTGTATCCCTGGGTGGCCTTCAGCTGACAGAGATCCACCTGTCTTTGCCTCCTGAGTGCTGGATTAAGGGTATATAACAATATGACTGGCTTAGTTTTACTCTGAATTACTTCAAAAATAAAAAACACCCAGGATGTTAAATTGTCTCTAAAAAAAGCAAGTCATTTGGACCAGCAAGCTGGCTCAGTGGTTAAAAGAGAAGCCGACTTCCACTCCTGAAACCCATGGTAAGAGAACTGATTTCTGAAAGTTGTCCTCTGACCTCTATATTGCCATGTATGATTGCTCTGTTACACACATGCATGCCACACACACACCAATGACAAAAGTCAGAAAAAAATGTTAGAAACTCAGCAAGTTATCTAAAATCTCAAGAAACCCAAGTATTCGTTACAAATATAGACTTCTTCCTATAAATAAATCACTGAATATAGAAAAGATGAAACAGAACAGCGAAATAGTTACCAATTCAAAATATCTGTAAGTTAAATTTGGTAACACACATTTATGATATTATTTAATTGTGCTTATAGACAGGAATTCACTATGCAGCTTAGGCTAGCCTCGAGAACTCTGATTTAATACAACAGTCTTCAAGTAAACAGTTTTCCTTTAGGCACAATCGAAGAATTCAAGAGTAGTCTCAGGCAACTTCTCTGTGTCTTATCTTTCATTTATATATTTATTCAAGGAATGAGGCATTTATAGTGCTCTGAGTTGCTGATGATACAAATTACTGCAACCAGTTTGTATGTGTGAGAATACAGTCCAGTAGTTCAGGCTGCTGTTGAACTCAGTTGGCTTCCAACTTTTGATCCAGGCTGGCTTAGTCTCTGGAGTGTGCAGAAAGGCCTATGGATAACTTTTATTTCTTAGATTTATTTTTAGGCCAGGTACAGTGGCGTGCAGCTGTAATCCTAGCACTCAGGTAGGCAGAGGCAGGTGGATCTCTGTGAGTGTGAGGCCAGCCTGGTCTACAAAGCGAGTCCAGGCCAGCCAGGGAGATTTATTTTTATTATTTATGTATGTGCCTATGAGTGTGTCTGCAGAAACCAGAATAGGGCATCAAATCCCCTGGAGTTGGAGTTGCCGGCAGTTTGAGCCAAATCAAGTAGGTGCGAGGAACTGAAAGAGCAGCAAGTGCCCTTAAAGGCTGAGCCTTCTTCATGTCCAAAAAAAACTTAAAACAAAACAAAAAAAAAGGGCATCAGTGGAGATTGAACCAGAGTCCTGGGTGTAACAGGCAAGTACTCTGCCACCAAACTGCATTCTCAGTCCTCAAGAATAATACGTTAGGGAAAAAAAAAAAAAAAAAAAAAAAAAAGTGCCAGTAAATCAGTATTCACAATAACTCCCCAAGGGCCATCTAATGAAAACTCACTGTGAGACCCAGAGGAAAAAAAGGCCTGTGGCACAACTTTAGGATGCACGTTACCAGTATTACTTTGCAAAGTAGGAATGATTGGTTCCTTTGTTAAATTCTAAGAAATAGAAAACTTTATACTTGGGGTGGGGAATAAGTTCTCTAAACGCCAAGCTGGGCGTGCTTGTTATCCCACTATTTAAGAGGAGGCAGGAGACTTAGAAGCTCAAAGTCAACCCTTGGTGGCCTAGCCTGGGCTACAAAACATCCTGACTCAATGTGGAAAACACACACAGACACACACAAGCCCCTAGCATTATTCCCCATGCCCACAACCCAAAATAAGCAACATTAAATGAAGGAAAACAAAGAAAATTCAAAAGACTCAGAATTTACAAGACAAAACAACAAAAACACCCAAAAAACCAAAAGTCCTTTATTTTGTGATTTCAGAGACAGGGTGTCATGGATCCAGGCTGGCCTCGAATATACTATGTAGCTGAGGCTGCTTCACCTCTTGCCTCCATCGCCTAAGTCCTGGGATGACAAGCGGGCACCATCCCATCCCACCGTGCTGCAGATGGATCCCAGGACTCCGTGCAGGCTAGGCACGGGCTCTACGAATTGAGCCCTGGGTGGTGGTGGTGGTATCTTTATCCTGAAAACCCAACAGAATCAACGACTAGAGCGTTACCACGGTGTGCGAAGGCACACAAAGACAGGTCGGCAGAAAGGAGGCAGCAATGACTCAATGGGCCAGACGGATCATCTTTCCTAGGTTGGCAGATTATGCAACACGGCTAAGGGCACGCCGAGCGCGAGGGAGAGGCGAGAGAGAAAAGCTTTTGTCAGCAGCATCTCCACGGGGGCGTCCCCACCCCCACCCTCGCCCCACCGGTCCGCCATCAAGCGTGGCGCACCCCGGCCTGGTCCCGCCTCCCGCCCCGCCCCCGCGCCGCCCGCCCATCAAGGCCTCGCGTCTGACTTCGACCTTTCGACTCGTTTCCAGCCTCTACTCCCCTTACGAGTCCACCCGAAAAAAAGGTGCCACGGTCCGGACGCGGCAACAAACAGGCTTTTCTTTCTAGCCGGGAGAGATCCAACGTGGCCGAGAGCGCGGAGCCGGAAGCGGAAGTGACGTCACGCGGCCCCCTCCCCCTTCTCCCAGAGCTTTGAGACCTTCTCGGCGTTTGTCCGAGGGCTCTCCCCTCTGGCTCGGCGAGGATTCGGTGAGGGGATGCGGGGCCCGGCACGGGGAGGGAGAGCACTCGGTAGACCTCTGCGGGGAGGCGGGCGGGTCTTTGCTCGTACGGGCCCGCGTCCTCCCGGGCTCTGCAGCCCTTCCAGGTGCCGCGGCCCGAGTGCGCATCAGGACTCAGCCCTGAGTTGTTTGCGCCCACCTTTCTCTAAAGCCCGTGCAAAGTAACCTTTGTGGAATTGCTCCCCCCCTCCCCAGAAAGAATAGACTCTCCGCCATTGGCATCACATTGAGACGCTGCATCTTCCATCCTCGGACCGGGCGATTCTTTCTGCTGCGCCTGAGCTTTGGCTGAAAGGTGGGTGAGGACAGTCTTTTCCTCTTGTTTTTCTTTTTTTTCGTGACTGTGCAAAGGAGTGTTTCATCCGAAAATTTTTCTGTCGTGGGACATCTGTTTACATGAGACACATTGCATTCTGATTAAAAAAGAAAAAAGTAACTTTGTTACAGACTTCTGCATTTATCTGTCTGTAAATAATAACGTAACGTGTAGACCCTGCACGGGTCTTTGTGTTGAAGAAAAGTAAGGATGCCAAGTTATTCTCATTTGTGCTGGGGGTGCAACTCAAAAGTCTCCTGATGCTAAGCAGTCTCCTGCTGAGCTACACCCATAACCCAAATAGTTAGCCATTGTCTGAACGCTGTAGGCCTGTGCCTCCTTGCAGACTTTAAAAAATGGAGGCTTTGTTAGGTTAGTACTGATTGAACTGTTTGCTTTTCCCAAGGAAAAAAAAAATAAATAAAAGTAGATTTTATGGTGAACTATTTGAGAGTAAGTTGAGAATTTTAGGCATGATATTTTTACATAATGGGTAATGCATCTTCTAAAAAATGAGGATATTGACCCATTAAGAACTTAATAGTAAAGTTTCAACCAAGACAACTAAAAACAGTATGTTATCTAATATCTTCTTTGTGTGAAATCGTAAGTCTTAATTGTTAACAAATATGTTTTTGAGTGTTTTTGCATTTAAGATTTCTTCAAACTTTCTTTGTTTTTTGTAATAAGAATTGAATCTTGGGCTTTGTGCATTTGGGGTAAGCTCTTTACCACTGAGGTATAAACCCAGACCTCTTTAAAGGCTTTTTAAAAAAATTATTATTAAAAAAAAAAATAGATGTTTATGTTTGAGGTGTTGTTTATGCCCTGGACTGCAGTGCCCTGGGATGCCAGAAAAGGGCATGGGATCGGAGCTGGAGTTACAGGAGGTTGTGAGCCACCTGGTGTGACTGTATGTCTGGTTCTGGAAGAGCAGTGTGTACTCTTGAAGATCCTTACATTGAAATTTTCAGATGGCTTTTAGGGTCTTTGAACCAAGATCAGCCATGCTATCTTTAAGGAGGTGTGTATTTTTCCCCATTTCTGTGTATATTTTGATGGTTTGTTTGTGTTGGCATGAATTTCCTCCATTTAAGATTTTTTTTTCCATAGACTAGGTTTTATCCTCAGCACTACAATGAAGGAGGGATGTAGTGAAAAAAAAAAAAATCCAGCCTAAGCCTGTTCTTATAATACAGAATAAAATATTACAAATTGATCAGAGCTCTGGAAGTTAATATACTGTACTGAGTTATTGAGTTAATACACTTTTGTCATATGAGAGTACATGAATGTAAGAAGTGTATGTGTATGCTTGTGTATGAAAGACAGAGAGAGACTGACTCTGAGAGGAGGGGTTGTTGAACCTAGGGTCTTGGACATGATAAATAAATGCTCTGTCACTAAGCTGTATCCTCAGTCATTTTACTTCCTAAACTACATTTTATTTGTCCACGTGAGTGCATGTATATATGCGTGTGAGGAGGTCAGAGTCCTTTCATCATGTAGGTCCCGGGAATGGAACTTCAGGAACCTTAGGTCTTCAGGTTAGGTGGCGGATACCTTTATACACTGAGGCTGGGGCTGGGGCAGCAGCTGCTGGAGCTGCTTCTTCCTCCCTCTCCCCCAGCACAGTTGTTTCATATACCTTTTTATTTGAATATATTCATTGTAAAAATAAAGGGTTTTATTATGACGTTTTAATGCATTCATAAAATGTATTTTGATCATACTCACTCTCAAGAGAAGTGAGTTCTATCTAAGTTGAGACTAAATGACAGGGTATAGGAATAACCGTGTTGAAAGAGAAGGGCGGAGGAGTTAAGGAGAGCATGGTAAGCAGTGACTAATTATATTTGTATAGTGCCAGAGGAGAGCCTCAAGAGTTAATCCCAGGCTTGACGGTTCACTTTTTTTTTTTTTTTTTTTTTTTTTGGTGGTGCACAAACTTATCGCAGCAGTTGAATGGTGGAGACGGGCAGGAGGATCTCTGCAAGTTTCAGGTAACTCAAGGCTATATAGCAAGACAGCAAGACGCTATCTAAATAAACAAATGGACTCAGTGTTAACGCTGTTTGCAGAGGACCTTTGTTCGATTTCTACCACCCACATGGCAGCTCACAACCATCTGTGTCTCCATTTCCGGGGAATCCGATGCTCTCTTCTGGCCTCCATGGGCACCAGGCACACAAGTGGTGCACAGACATACATGCAGGTGAAACACAAGTACATATAAAATAAAATAACCACCAAACAAAACAGGATAGAAAACTCACATGTGTTAGTTATTAATCTTAGGAAATGTTTGGGTTCCTAAACAGTCAAAACCTCTTAAGAGTGGTTTTTAGACTACTTTGGGTTTTCCCTACCCAAACTAGGACTCAATTTCCCTGGGGGAATGTTCTAGTTCTTCTTACAGGAGGAACCAGTCCTGTGGGACTGCTTACAGATAGCAAATGAGTTGGAACCACTCCAGGGGTAAGCGACCAGAAGACTCCCCTGCTGGTGTGGTATATCTGAAAATACCCAGGGATGCTTTTTGGCTTGACAATATCCATGTTACTTTTTTTTTTTTATTGTTTTTATTTTTATTAATTAGTTTATTCACTTTATATCCCAGCTGTAGCCCCCTCCCCATCCTCTCTCAATCCCACCATCCCTTCCTCTTCTTTTCCTCTGCCCCTTCATGTTATCTTCCATATTTCCTTTTAAAGGACATAGATTAAAAATTGATGGTGCCAAAAAAAAAAAAAAAAAAAATGAGGGAAAGCCAGGTATAGTGGTAACATACCTGTAAATTAATCCCAGTATTTGGGAGGTGGAGGCACGAAGATCTTGAATTCTAGGATAACCTAAGCTATATAGTGAGTTCCAGGTAAGCCTAGGCTACATGAGAACTTGTCTCAGAAAATCCAACCAACAACAATAAAATAATAAGGAGTTGTTACCATATAGTTCTTAACCTCTGAGCCATCTCTCCAGCACCATATAGTTGATAAAGTTGTTTATATAATCCTGGTGACAGAGTTTAGTGAAAATACAATCTTAGCTATTGGTAGTATCTGCTAGATATTTGAATGTGAATGTCCTGACATAGTATAAGAGTAAAAACATGTATTGCTTAAATATGAATATTATTACAAGTATTCACAACAATTACTAAAATTGTATTCAATTAGAAACAAGTGGGATATGGTTCAGTTGACAAAGTGCTTGCCCAGTATGTAGGCAGCCCTAGGTTCCAGCTCTAGTCCTGCATAGACTTGACTACAGTGTGTGTTAATGTATCATGGAACTCAGTGTGTAGAGACAGGAGAATCATTTTACAATAAATTGGAGGGGAAAATCAGTGATACATACCACATACAGATGAATTTTTTTTTTTTTTTTTTTTTTTTTTTTTTTTTTACTCCTTGGGGCTTGTGAATGTTTAACAAGTGCTGTACCCCTGAACTACATGTCTGGCTTACACAGAAAGCCTTCCCCAGTCAAGCCATGGATTCTGACTTTCATAGAAAACACTTGTTTAAAAAAATAAAGAGAAGTCAGGCAGCGGTGGTGCATGCCTTTAATCCCAGCACTCGGGAGGCAGAGGCAGGTGAATCTCTGAGTTTAAGGCCAGCCTGGTCTACAGAGTAAATTCCAGTATAGCCAGAGTTATACAGAAACCCTGTTTTAAAAACAACAGAAGCAAAGTTAAATAAAATAAAAAGAGAACATGTATAGCCTTATTAATTAGTGCCTAATAAGTTTTAACAAGTTTATTGGCCTAAAATGTCACAGGACTGAGTAGGTTGATGGACACATGTAATTCTAGCACCTGGAAGATTAGGGTGGTAGATATCAGGTTCAAGACCAGCCTGAGCTATGCAGCAGGTAGTAAAGACGGAAGGGGAAAGAGTTAGTGTCGTATTGTAATGTGTGTTAAAGAACTTGAGGCATACTGCAGCACTCCTCAGTGTGCTTGCTCAGCTCTTTTACATGTATTTGACATTTGTAATAGTAATTAAACAAGTCTATGTACAAAGGAAGTTGTAACTCCTTCCAAAGTGAGGAGAAACAGCTCTTAGTGGACATGGTATCCCTATCACAGGCCATGTTCATTAATGCTCACATTGAGACACATTCTGAGTGAATAGTGTTGTTACCCAAAGATTAAAATGGAGCTAGGACTGGCAGCTCAGATCTGTAATCATAGCTACTGGGATGTCAGGGTAAGCACATTGAAAATTCAAGGCCATTAAGGGTTATAAAGTGACTTAAAGGCCAGTCTGGTCAACGTAGTGAGTCCTTATTTAAAAATAAGTAAAAAGAGGGGTGGCTCTCTTAGCAGGAGTGTATGGGGCCTTAGGTTCCATTTCTAATACCAGAAATGGTGGTTGGTGGTAGCTGAATTAGAAGCTGCACCTGGTAGTGGTAGAATTGGGAATGTAAGGTCAATGTGGGCTTACTGAGGCTGTTTCAAAGGATAGTTAAGCATGAGATTAATCTCTAGTGTAAGAAAAATGGAAAGGGAATTGAGTGCTTGGACGCAGTTATTACGGTGTAGTGGAAAATGACTGCAGCTCTTTCATGTAGCTTAGGCTGGCCTTGAAATTCCCTGTTCGCCTGCCTCAGTTTCCCAGTTGTTAAGACTACAGGTGTATATTACCACCCCTGGCTTTTTACCTTTTTTTTTTTTTTTTTTTTTTAATCTCCCTGTTGTTGCTTTTTCGGGTATTGTTTCCTTATTTTTCTTCAGGAAGAACATTGTTCTGGATTATATATCTGCTAGAATACCCTTCATTCTCAGAGTGACTTCCGTTCTTTCTCCTTTTTATGGATTCTTAAGTGTGTGCTTGTGTGTGTGCGCCTGTCTGTCCAAAAGGCTGGAGGAGTTGAAGTTACGGCAGTTTTGAGTTGCCAACGTAGGTGCTGGGAATTGAACCCTGATTCTCTGCAAGTGTACATTCTTAACCATAGAGCCATCTCTGTAGCCCCTTTGTTTTATTTTTAGTTATCACTTCCTGTTAACTTTATTCATCATGGAAGTATATGAGACTCCAGACTTACTTCGTGCCTTGAATGTATCCCTGTATCCCACTATCTCTTTTGTACTTGGGAGCAATCTCTGCAGCCAGTAGGTTAGTGCCAATTTGTCTTTTGATTAGATACTTGGTTCTAGACAAAGCTCAGATGACCATATGACATTGTCATTTCCAGTGTCTCCTGAGGATTGCAGTCCCTAGAGTCTAAAACCTAGGTAAAAATTTGTGTGAGTCAGTTTCTTATGTATTCATCTATTCTCCTGCTCAAGTTCTGTGGGGAGACCATGCCAGGTAAGTTCTGGTTTAGCCTTCTATAGGTTTAACAAAGTGTTTCATTGTTCTGACATGTGTAGGTAGTTGTGTCTTCTTTTTGGGAGGGAGTTTTATCTGTAGCTCAGAATATGTCTTCCTGCCCGCTGACCTACGTGCACACATCGCCACACTTATTTGTAGGTTTTTGGTTTTTGGGGTGGGGATGCAGGTGTGTTGCAGGGAAAGTCTCATTTGGCTGAGGCTGTCCTGGAACTCACTGTGCAGTTCAGGCTGGCCATGAACTTACACTCCTTCTGCCTCACCCTCCTGAGTGCTGGTATTCCAGCTACATACTACCTTTACCTGACTCAGTGGTTACCTCAGTATTGCACCGTTATTCCTTAACAAATAGTGTAACAACCACATAACATGTATATTGTTTTAAGATTTTTTTTTTTTTTTTTGAGTCAGGGTCTCACGTTGCCTAGCCTTGCCTTGAACTAAATATCTAGGAATAATTTTTTTTTTTTTTAGTCAGGGTTTCTTTGTGTAACCCTGGCTGCCCTGGCATTCACTTTATAAACCAGGCTGGCCTCAAAATCAGAGATCTGACAGCCTCTTCCTCTGAATGCTGCGATTAGAAGTATATGATACCACTGTCTGTCTCAGGAATGACTTGAACTCCTGATCTTTTATTTATACCTCCTAAGTGCTGAGATTACAGGCATGTGCCAGTACCTGCCTTCTACTGTGCCCGGGATTGAACCCAGGACTTCATCCATGGTAGGCAATTACTCTATCAACTGAGTTACATTCTTTCATCATAAAAGAAGTACATAACTAATACACAAATACTCTGTGCTTTTTATATAAGGAATTTAAACATCTGCATATTTTGGGATCTACAAAATACCTGGGACCTCAGGGAACATCTACTGTGCACTAGAACACAGAGTCTTGGGCCAAGGAGATGGCTCAGTGGTCAAAAAGCCCCTTCTGGGTTCTGGAGAATGGAGTTTGGATCCTAGAACCCACATAAATATTGGGGGGTGGGGAGTGGGGGGAGGTGGCAGCCAGTCTGTAATTTTAGCACTTAGGAGGCAGAGATAAAGGATCTGTTAAGTAAGCTGGCTGGCTAGGTTAACAGAATCTGCAAGCTCTCAAGATGGAGAAATTGAAGACTCTTGATAATCAAATTCAGGCCTCCTTACTAACATATGCACCTGCACCTAACGTGTGCCTGTGCTGGCAGTTCCTGTTTGTCAACTTGACTACCTCTGAAATTAACGAAAATCCAAGCTGTTGGGTATACCTTTGAGGGATGAGAGATCCATCTTTACCTCTGCTGCAGCCTATATAAATGACATGGAGAAAGGAAGCTTTCTTTCTGCCTGCTTGTCCTCACTTTCGCTAGCCAGTCCATTTCTTCATTGGCATTAGCACCTACTTCTTCAGAATTCTGGCATATACTGAAGACTAACTGAGACATTCAAACTTGTGGACTGAACAACTACTGGATTCCTGGACCTTCCATTGGTATATGTAGCCATTGTTGGACTAGCTGGACCTCAGCCTGTAAGCCACTCTAATAAGTAAATTAAAAAAAAAAAAAAAATATATATATATATATATATACACACACACACACATATACATATATGTGTGTGTATATGTATATATTCATTTTATAAGTTCTGTTCCTGTAGAAAATATTGACAGTGTCC